AATTACTGTTCACTAATTTTCAAAAAATAATAACTCTCCAACATGTAGATTAGGTTATTTATGGTTATTTTGGCACTATTTGTTACAGGGTTAAATCAAACAGTTGATACCGTAATTGAACCTGCAATTTCACAATGTAAACTTCACTTTTAAGTGACACACTTGAACATGAGTGGAACGGTACCCTAATCTGTTTAGCTGCATTGTTACTCACTATTGCTTTTATAAAATAAACACATTTGTCATTATCTGTTCTGCTGTTTTTCATACACAAGTTAAAATAAGATCTAGGTAATCTTCACAAAATACTGAAAAATTATGAAAAAAAAAAACTGTACAGTAATTGTTGCTCTGTAATATGTATTCATGATGTGTTGTGTATGGCTGCATACTCACAGAGTCACGGTCGTTATCGATACCCTTAAACCGCTTTTATACAATTTCACGTTCTCATTGTGTCTGCATCCTGAGTCTGCGTCTAATGCTCGCTTGTGTATGATGAAATTAACCAACCCAAATGAATCTGAAATGCAACAAACGTTTTACAATTCTGGGTGTGATGTCATATTTCCAAATATAGCTTGTCACTTGCATAAGGCATAGGGGGATCAATTGTCGTATTAACGTTTGATAGCTGGTAACTGGAGATGTCTGAAATGTGCAGTAGATATATCCTAGCTTTTATCTTCACCCGGCGCACGGTTTGTTCATGGTAAATACGAAATTTTAGAACCATCTGCGACAACTACCCCATAAATTGCCTGACGAATGATGTCTATATCATACTCTCTTTGACATTGTCCCCTGTTTGAACTTCAATATATATCTTGATTGAACCCCATTGAGGTTGTTCATTGTACCCTGTGATAATGTTACCAAGTGACTGCTTCATTAATTTTGAATATCCTTCATGTCAAAAGTAGGAATAAACCTAATACCTTTCTTTTCTTCAGTGATTTATGCTTGCCTGTGTTTTGAAGTTTCAAATAACACTGCACGAAGAGGGACACATTTGTGTCTGATTTTATTATGTTATACACCTACAAATACCCTGTGTGACAGTTCTCACAGACATTTCAGTCAGGGTCTTTCTTCAAAAAGTATGAGAAATAATGTTTGGGGGGCGTACACGAAGGCAATCCCTGACTTCACTTATCTCCTTGTGAAACATGTTTAGCTTTATTTGGATGCTGTGATGAGTGTGTAGCTGGTTGTGAAAGAATAAAATCTGTAACTTATTTGAAGTGTGTCTTGAGTTATAATTATTTGTAACTCCACTGTAGACTTTGTCAAGCAGAGCTTATCATATGAGTGATTGTCCGTCATCGTCCATGTCAACTTGTTACTTCTTCAGCTTTTTGAAAACTACAAGCTTGATTGCTTTGATACTTGGTGTATATGTACCTCGGCTAGACCTCTCTTAGATTTTTGTTCATTTCGAGTTGATATCTTCAATTCTCTAATTTTGATGAATATTTTTGTCATTTTGGTAAAAAGCGATACTTTGGACTTTTTGTTAAAAACCACAAGTCAGATTGCTTTGATATATAATATGTCCTACAGGTGGACCTCTCTCAGATTTGTTCATTTCATGATATTCTGAATTCTTTAATTGAAATGTGCATTGCTAACAGCGCAGCTATCTCAGCCCACAGGCTGCTTGTTCTCAATGTGTAAGGTATATTTATATCGATCATTACATTCATTGTGTGACGTAAGAGCAAATGACATTATGTCTGCTGAATTAAAAGATTATTCATAGTCTCGAGATGTCAGTTTTGATTTTCACATTGGCGTATTTTGAGGTTTTTGTCGACAGCAGCCACGAGGGGATAGTAATTCTCAATATTTGTATACTATACTATTAAAAGGTACAAAGTGAATAGTGATTTTTGTTTAATTTAATGAAAAAAAAAATTTGATTGGTATTGGTAAAGTATTTTTTGTCTGATATACACTGTGTCATTGGTTTAATTAATGGTAAAGTGACATGGTTTTGAGAATAGTTAGTTCAGATTGTCATTTCTAATAAGTCTTGTATTCCAATTATGCTTGACATTGATAACTAAATTAGAATTACTTTTCTTTGTTTTGTACATCCATCCATTTGCTAATATAGGAAGCTTTCACTTGGATTTCATTCATTTTTCTACTTTATAACTTCATGATGCGATATGACAACAGCTTAGTTCAAATAAACATGCAAATCAACCAACTTTGCAATCGCTTTGCACAACTTTGCATGCTGTTTGAACAGCTTAGAGCCATTAGGTGCAGACTGCAGAAACTAGTTGTTCATGGAATATATGTGCAAATTTTAAACGTTCTATAACAGTCAGGTTACTTAGAGCAGTCTTAAACTACCACAGTTTGACATTCAGTTTTTATTCAGTGGTTGTCAAGTTTCAGTTTACAGCCAAGGGTAGTGTGGGAAAAACTTTGATTTGAACACTGACCTTTGAAGATTTATATTGGGTAATTATGGAATACTTCTATTGAAGAGCTGCTGTCTGGCTGATTAACTTCTCAGATAATCAGAAACTCTGTCAACTGTAATTTTACCCAGTAGTCCAGCATTACCTTTTGTCAACTTACAAACATGTACAGTACTTGTCTGATATTGTCTGGTACCGTTGTTTCTCATATTTCGTTTGAGATACATGCTCTAGTCCAAGGTTAACACATCAGTTGTATTGACTGATATCATTTTTCCCACCATAATTTTTTCGTAACTTTCTATAGTTTCTTTGTTAATTTTGGGCCAAATTGATGTAATTTTACATTACATAGCCGTCTTGATCAAATTTGTTGAAAAATTATGAAAAAAGGGCTTGCTTTGTGAATTGTTGCAAAACTTGACTAGAATGTTATAAGAGTTAAGAGACAACAAACCAATAGATAGTATATCAACGTCTTACCTTGTTTTTATGTTTTTGGATGAGCTGTTAAAGTTTCAACAACTTGAATCTTGAAAGCAAGTTCACAGACATGTACGGCACGTTACACTGCATCTGAGAGCACACTTACACTGCAGTCTTTTACTAGGAAGACCGACAATCATTTTCCGGTTCAAATGTGACTGTGTGTGTGCCCGGACTGATAAATAGTTTCTTGTTTACTTGAGTGTGACTGCCCTCTTTGTATTACCTGGTCACTTTTATGACTTAAGTACGTTAACTAAGTTGTAAATCAGATTTAATAACAAGTAAAAAGCAAAAACTATTCAAAGTTGACAAACAAATTTGCATATACAAAACATTGGTTTCAGAGCTTAAAATAGGGAGGAGTCTTTGTTTGTCTCTAGATGGCGCTGTTCATTATACATTTAGGGAAGAATTTACGTAGAGGGCACCATCACATATTTCTGTGTTCAGAATTAAGGGGTCAGATTTGTATTGCCTTTACTTGGAAATGTTTTCAAAGCTTTTTTTCTTCCAAAAATGGTCAGGTCTAATCTAACGATTTGGCTCAAATAATTCCAAGAAATAATGTCACAATCTTTCAGAAGTTTCATCATAGCCATAGGGTTTCATTTATGCAATGTTGTTAATGTGCATGTACAGACTTACCATATGCGCATGTGCAGATTTTCAGAAACGATTGTGCAGACTTTTTCAAAGTAGGTTTGGGTTACCCCGAAGTGTATTTGACGTCATTTGGACACCGTCATCAATAATGGCTAAAACTAGTAGCTAAAACTAAATTTTTGGCGAAAAATAAATTGTTTTGGTTAGGAAATGACTAAAACATTTATTTTTCTAGAGGGAGCCCTGTTTTGTAAATGACTTTTATCTCTAGCTCTATCACTTTACTATGTATGCAATTTTCAATTCATAAGTTCTTCTAATAGAGTAAATATGGTACCTTACTATCTGGTTTACCATAAAATTTCTAAAAAAAACAAATCAAAAAGAATGTAATCACTATTCATGAAATTTGGACAACAGCGCCATCTATAGTTGATCTGTTATACTGCTGGCTTTTATTCGTACATATTGAAGAGTGCCCCCTTTAGGTGGTATTGAATGGCGTATATAAAACCATGACATATTTCTATGGAAATCAAAATGATGTCAATTCTGTTATTTGTACTGTCCCTTAGTTTCATTTATTTGTTTCACTTTTTTTTTATCTCAAAAACATTTTGTGAATTATTTTGGTGTAGCTGGTAGTAAACAGTACAGTCTGAGCATAACTTAACATTTAGGTAGCTTTTTACCTAACTTGCTTTCAAAAAAATATATATCCCTCGTATATCCAATTTTAACAGTCAGATTCAACTATTAATAAGTTAAAATTTATGTTGACAATGATAATCACTTTAAAATTTTTTTTTTTTTTTAATTCAAAATCTAGAGGAAAGCCATCTTGGGAGTATAGTATATTCAGACTGTTTTGTTGTATTCTCTCTCGTATATAGTTTATACAAAATTCACATCACACACATTGTTGCTTAGCAACTACAGATCTGAAGCTTGAGAACATGGGATACATTGGCAAAATATCAGAAATGTGTTGCATTTGTTTCAGTGGCTTCCGAACCCTGGAAGACATCAGAAACAGAGACGTCAGTGTAATTATTCTATGGGCTATAAGGCGATTTTATAAATTTTGGTGGTGAAAATGGACGCCTGCTCAATTTAAAAAGGTCAAACTCTGTGCATCAAATATATTTCTACTTACAAGATAACTTGAGAGCCAGTATCAACTTGAGTCTGGTTTTAATCTGATGTGACATGAACAAGATTACAAAAAAATGTCATATACACAACTTGAAACAAACACTGACAAAAGAAAAACTAGTTCATCCTTATGCATAAATTTGACTACAGGATCCTATCCCTATTCATGTTTTCATTTGTGAAATGTCAGCCAAATGTTAATAATAGTAGGCACTTTTTTTATTGAAAACTAAGTATTACACTTTTTCTTACATGGATGAACTTGCAGAACTATTTGATGCGGAATTGACGCTATCATCAGTAATTTTCACGACTTGCATCTTGTGATTCATCTGAATTCGGGCGACGATACAAGTAGGCATGTTGATAGTTGATTGGTTGTTGAAGATTGAGTACGGCTGCACTACTGGTGGAGACTTCGTCCATGTATCTGATTCCCATCTTTTGATTGGTATACATGTTGGTCCCGTTCTGATAGCCGGGCATCTCCATTAGGACGCCTTTCATGTTCCTCATCACCTTGAACCAATAGTTTGTGTAGTTCATTCTATCAGCCATTTTAACGATAGCGGCTAGACTGTCTGCGCTTAACTCCAAATAGTTCAAATTTATCAACGTGTCAAAGGTGTCTTCTGGCAGACAGTACAAAGGGTTATACGACAAATCTAAATTTTCAAGTGTTTCTTGGTTAGAAAATGCCTTAGCCTCCACTACACTAATGATATTCGTACGTAAAGAAAGTGTGGTTAAATTTATCAAGTTGTCAAATAATGTATTTTTTAGGTTTTTAATTCTATTTTTGCTTAAATCTAGAATTTTTAAAGTATCTCTGGCTATTAGTGCTTTTTCGATATCATTATTAAGCAAATTGTCATGAAGACGGAGTTCCTTTATTTTAAGGAGGTCAAGAAAGGATCCGTTATCTAGGTCGTAGATTTTGTTTCCACTTAAGTCAAGCAGTTCTGTTTTCTGAAGTCCCCAAAATGAATTTGTAGGTAGCACTCGCACATTATTGTAGCTGACATCTAAATACTTGACCTCGTTACAGTTAAGGAAGTCGCCCTCTTCTATTTGCAGGATATCATTCCAACTGAGATCCAGAAATATAAGTTTTTGTAATCCCGAACAGAAATCGAGGCTCTCAAGTGTCTCAAGTTGATTATCTCGAAATATCAGATGCGTTGTGTTCAACGGTACTGTGCTGGGTATGGTCGACAAGTTCTGACTGCTGCAGTCAACGACCAAAGCGTCCATCGTTTCGTTGCATGTGCACATTGATGGACACGCGGATATTTGTGTCAAAGTTACGATCAGTAGAAACGCACATGGCAGTGATAACGCGATTGCTGTTTCAAGTCGTGTCATTTTTGGCACTCTCTTGTCAGTCTTGTGATCTGCAGAGTAATTCTGGTACTTCCTACTGGGTAAGGTTATGGCGAATAAAACTCATCCTGGCATTTCAGTTTTTATAGTCCGTTCGTATAGTCCCAGTGTTTTGCTTAGGTAGCCTTCTTAATGTGTTGGAACACACCTGGTAGATATTATTGGATTAATTTCAGCTATTCACCTTTATATCCTGTAATATATAAAACACAGATGAGGAAAGTAAGGTATGGAACAGTCATTAGGTCATGGTCTATTTGTGGTGCATGCATAAATTACAAAGATAGTGAAAATAAGTATGATTTTAAGGATCCAGTGCACAACAAATGTATTTTTTGGGGTTTATAGTTGTGAAACTGCTGATATGCAAATTACCTAATTAATATTCACAGCAACATATAATTATGTGGTAGGTTACAACAGTTAAACAATAGTGGTGAAACTGTTGATATGCAAATTACCTAATTAATATTCACAGCAACGTATAATTATGTGGTAGGTTACAACAGTTAAACAATAGTGGTGAAGCTCTTGATATGCAAATTACCTAATTAATATTCACAGCAACGTATAATTGTGTGGTAGGTTACAACAGTTAAACAATAGTGGTGAAACTCTTGATATGCAAATTACCTAATTAATATTCACAGCAACATATAATTGTGTGGTAGGTTACAACAGTTAACAATAGTGGTGAAACTGTTGATATGCAAATTACCTAATTAATATTCACAGCAACATATAATTGTGTGGTAGGTTACAACAGTTAACAATAGTGGTGAAACTGTTGATATGCAAATTACCTAATTAATATTCACAGACAATGTATAATTGTGTGGTAGGTTACAACAGTTACAACATTGTAACAGTAATGTCTACTTTAGCCAATTTCATATTGTACTGAAATGAAAAGCCCAGTGATTGTTGTGCAAGATCTACATGTATGACATAGGCCACAGAAATTGCAATCTGCCAAAATGCAGTAGCTTCTACCAAAGGAAGCAGATCCATCTAAAAAGATCTTCTAATTTGGTATCATGTGATTCATTACTATAGTATCTAACTAATCATTGAAGAAACCTGTGAGCTTTCTCTATTGACTAAAAGTGTGTATGCTTTCGCATCAAATAAAATAAAATGGCCCCCAAAAATGATGTATATTGGTTTCCCTGGCAAACTGAATCCAATTCTTTCTGTAATTTAAACTCAAATGCAGAATCCATAAAATAGAAGAGAACTGTCAGTGAATATAAGTTTGTAGAGATTAATCATCTCTGTACTAATGGTTTTGTTTGCAAGTGTCGAAAAATGCCTCGTTACGTTTGATGTTGTTGCGTATAGTATAAGTAGTGTGTGGATGAAGTTCCTCGGTTTCTTGGAATCATTTCTATGCTCCCTATTCCCATCCTGTTAAATTAATAAAGAAAATCCATTATTTAAGTAAAACATTTTATTTTTCATATTCTGTAATGGGTTGATATACCGGTACTCAACTGCTAACTTTTTGCTGTGCTACCGGTATATTATAATTTTACGAGGACATATCACCAATGTCAGTGATTCAAGCCCTTCGAACGTCATCATTTTTCTCGCCAAAATTTAGGTGCAACAATTTTCATGTTTAGTATGTATTTTGGGATAATAACAGGAAAAAGTTTGAAACGAGGAATCGTGGATTTGGTTTCATTCGTCCTTCTTTGTCACATCATAACCCCGAAAGATCTGATTTGAATAAAACTTCTTGGACAAATTGTTTAGTGTATTTGCAGTGGCTGATTACACATGTTGATTGACACAATGTCACAATCAAAGGCTCTTTTGGTCAAAATATTTAATTTTTGATCACAAAGTAGTGCTGAAAATGTTGAAGCTTTGCATTGCCCAATTTTATTCAAACTTGGAATTTATACTCAGTATTATAAGACACAGCATGCACAACTGGTCATTTTCAGTTACAGAATATGGCTGAAATTTTAAGCTTTGCATTGACCAATTTTATTCAAACTTGGAATTTATACTCAGTATTATAAGACACAGCACGCACAACTGGTCATTTTCAGTTACAGAATATGGCTGAAATTTTAAGCTTTGCATTGACCAATTTCATTCAAAATAGATACAAACTCATATTGTGAGAAACTGTGTTTCCAGCACATTTCAGTGGTATTGTTCAGGCAGAATTGGAAACTTGTTCCAGTTTATTCTTGCTACTTTGTCTTACCTAAGACACGTACCTTTGACAAAATAGAGAAACGCAATCATGTAGGTTTATTTTGTGAAAGACGACAAATTTAACTTAAATTTGACTTAATTAAGTGAAATTTGTCATGAAGAGAAATTGGTTTTTCATAGCTTCCTCAGCCCTAGCCATTATATAACGTAAGGAATAATAGAAACTTGCATTATTTCATTATTTCTTTACTATTACTACTCCTAAGTCATTATTGTCCCCGTCAGTACAGGTATACAATCTGTACTTTTATGGCTGCTTGATATCACTTCTCCAGTGAATATATATTTTCTATAACAGTCTGTATTTATCCATTCTAAAAAAAAGAATGCACAGTCACAGTACTTTTGATTCGTTAGGGCTTGTGATTGAAATATTACTATATTTGTTTGTCCCTTGATTCAATACTGCTATTGTCATCAGCTGGGCATGTGCTGCGTTTTCCTTATTCCCTGATTTTATTTCATGAAATATTGATTTAGTAGGTCCATTGGCACTTAGGTCTGCAGGTAATGTCAAGAATGAACGAGACCCCAGTTGGCACCGGCAGGCCCTGAAACTGCTACTTATGAGTAACACAGCCCTGTCGTGCAGTCCTGTAGGGTAAATCTTTTTCTGTAACAAGCATGGGCCAACAGGGTGAACGCTAACTTCACAAGTCAACTGACGCGAATAATTGGTGTTGTTTATTGCTAACCATACGTAGGATTTCTCAATATGTTGCATGCTTGTTGTTGTTGTAAGTATCTTAGATCAGCTTCAAATAAAAAAAAAAAAAATCACCAAATTGGCATGTTTCCAGTTAATACGAAGACAATGAACAATTGAAACATGGACAGGTACAGATCATTATTTATGCCGTTTCCACTTATGAAGTCAACCTTTCACCCAAGTGTAACATAAGTTAGTACATTTGATGGAGTGCTGTTTTACCTTGATTCTAAAGTCCTCCCCAGTCTGTTCAAAATAAGAATTTACAGTTCTCGACCAAAAGTCATGAAAAATAAACTTTAATGACAAATATAACACTCCTGTTGATGTCGTGTTTTTTTTCCTCCATTTATTTCGGTGTACGCTTTCAGCAGTCGTTGCATTAAAATAATATTATGGGTTGGTTAGGAAATGGCACCTTCCCAGTTCATGGATTTATGAATACCATAATTTTTACTGCCAAATGTTTGTTTTTACATAATTTTTTCAATAATGTCTATCATTTTTAATCTCATCAACATAATTTCTGATTGGATATAAAGTCACGATCAAAAATGTTGAAAAAAATTATATTATGATGAAATAAGTTGACTGAGGCATTCCACGTGTTTTTCATGTTATTTCAAAAATATTTGGGGGCAATCGATTTCCTTCCACTCTCTTGCTTAAGTTCATATTTTATTTCATTTTCTATGACTGTAGCGTTTAATTTTAGGATCAGACGAAAAGTTTTCATTGAACGTTTTGAACATTGGCGTAAAAATTCATGACAGAAGCTAGAAGCTAAGTTTACGGTGAAAGACGACTGAAGTTAACGATGGTTGTTAAAGGATTACATTTGAATGTTGTACATTTGTCATATAACACTGAATGTAACAGAAGCAGCTACAATTGTTATGAAATACCTATAATGATAGTTGCTGATATCGAATGTTCGAATTCGTTCTAACCTACTTACCGAGACAAAGCTAAGACCCTCAGCAGAACCCTAGAGATATGTCTGCTTGTTGAGTATCCTGAGAATACTTTGTCTTGTGTGTGAATAATACAGGTTTTATAACTAAATTATGTCATGCGACCTTTAACCTTCCAAGGGATCAACCACTGAAGATTGAGGGGGGAATGGTATATTGAATTAAAACTTACATACCAGCGAAAACAGTTCAAGCTCAGAAACTGATTTTTATTTTAAACACTGCTGCAGCCTCAAGTATCCATGAGTGTTGTGTTTGGGTTCTATACAGTTTACCAAACCCACCACCAACTTGCGTTATAGACAGATTGCTTTTCATTCCAAAGTTTGTTTTACAGATTGACATTTGACCTGTGGCGATTTATACACTATTTGCCTCGTGTCTATCCACCCCTGTTTATGTAATGGTTTCATCCACAGAGTTTGGAAGATGTTTCATATAGTTTTATGCTTACTAATTAAAAGTTATTGGCCACGTTATGGTAATTATTGTCATACCTGTAAGTCAGGTGAATAAAATCTGCCTAAGAAAAAAAAGAAATAAAAAAAAAAGCCATAACATTGCTTAACATTCTTTCATTTACCCAAAACTATACAGAAACAGTGATTTTGTTCAGGCTTATGTCATTTATTATGTATGAAACACTGATTCTGATTGATTCATGATGTTGATTTCACTTTAGTATAGAACACTGATTTAGATTTGTTTATACAGTCATCAGCGATAGATAGCTGATTTTGGTTGGTTAAATTTGTTTCAAACATGATGTCTGCTTGAATAATTTGTCTGAATCAAACTAATTTCCTGGATTAATGTAAACATGCTTGTTTTTTTTTAAAAAAAAATAAACTTGTTGATCACGCCTTGAAGGTATATGTGAGACTACACAAAAACCTGAAATACTAAGCCTGAAGTAAACTCTCCATATAATGATATTAATCCGACAATTCTTTCTT